AATACAATACAATACAATACAATACAATACAATACAATACAATACAATACAATACAATACAATGAAAAATCTCTGACTTAGGCAAAGAAAATATAGTATAAGCCTGTTGAAATACAATTTCTCATTCTGCTTTCTTACTCTTTATGGTTTTCCTTTATACAAAACAGTCTCAGCTAATTTCTCTTTGCATAATTTAACCTTCCTTTCATAGTTCAGACACATGCTTCTGGTGTATTCCTGTAAGGCAAATTTATAAAACCCTGCTTGCCACATATAGTATACTGTAGAATCTTTAACCTCTAGCTTTCAGGCCTAACTCATCTGAATTTGCCCTTCAAAATGTTGTCTGGTAGCTGCTAAGAAACAATTTTCAGTTTTGAAAAACCTTAGTGTGAATGATGCTTTTATTTATTTTACTTATCTCAGACCCACAAAACACATCCCTGGCCATTTTCCAATTAAATATAAACACACAAAGAGTGCCAGCAGTAGCACTAGATTTATATACTGCTTCACAGTGTTTTACAGCCCTCTCTAAGCAGTTTACAGAATCAGCATATTGCCCCCAACAATCTGGGTCCTCATTTTAGCGACTTCAGAAAGATGGAAGCAGGGGTGGGATTCTACCAGTTTGCACCTATTCACTAGAACCGGTTGTTAACATTCTAAGCAGTTTGGAGAACCAGTTATTAGAAGAAATTACTGGCCTAATCCTGTAAGGAAGGCAGGAAGGAAACATTCTGGTGTTGCTTACAGAAACTGCCTCTCTGTTAACCTTTATCACGTTCTTGGCAGGACTAGACTTCCTGTCTCAGGAATGTCTCTGGAGTTTTTTCCCCCTCCTTTGCTGGTACTTTGATTGTGTGGAGTGACTATTCAAAGTTACAATGGCACTGAAAAAAGTGACTTATGACCATTTTTCACACTTATGACTGTTGCAGCATCCCCACAGTCATGAGAGGTGAGGAGATGCGTGCCTCGATGTGAGTGATATTGAGTTGGCCACACCCAGCCAATAACATGACCACCAAGCCACGCCCACAGAACCGGTTGTTAAAAAAGTTGAATTCCACCCCTAGATGGAAGGCTGAGTCAACCTTGAGCCAGTGATACTCAAACTGCTGACAGTTGGCAATCAGAAAAATTAGCCTGCAATACTGCATTCTAACCACTACACTGTTACATTATATGTTGTTATTGTTAGTGTTTCAGTTCAGTTAACTTGGCTTTTCACAAATTAAATAATGAATTTTATAGATTTCAAAGCATCTATGAAGCTTCATTTTCTTGAGATTCTGGATCTGGACATTAGGTGAAATAACATAAACTGATTAAAAAACCTACTATTGATAACAGATTTTTAAACTATTTTTTCCCAATATACAAGTGCTTTTTTTCCTTTAACAAATCTGCAACTACAATAAAAAACAGGCCCAAATAATGATTTGAGAATTATAAATTTAATTTGCTTATGATTCACATTGACAGCTGAAAAAGCATTAAAATGCTTAACTTTGACAGGCGTATCTTTTTGTTATCTTGGGTGGAATAAAAAACCAAGAGATCAAAAACCATATTTGAGTTTCCTATTTATTAAATTTGGAGCATGTGAGAACATCTTTGATCTACATAGTAGTGAACAAAGATGCTAAGACCTAATAATCAATTGTATAAAACTTTAATTACCATTACAGTTGTGCTTGATTAATCAATTAAGCCTGTTTTAATTCTTCATCTAAAAGTATATGACTTCTTCCTACAAATATGTTATGGTTAGCTGATCACAGACCGCCGTTATGTTCAGCATATGGCACTGCAAAGAGATATGAAGTTTGTCCAGTCTTATGTTATGCTACATTTATAAAATAAATGCTATGGGAAATCCTATTATAATACTAGAAAAGGTATAAGAGCAAATATTTATGGAGATTCTTAGTCATCCAGGTCATGGTTGTCTCAAAAGATGCTTTTTTTTCAAAAGGCAACTGGACAGTCTCGTTTTTCTTCTCATCCAAGAAAGCTTCTTCAGCTCTGACTGGATGGTGGGGAATGGAAGGATTTATACCCCTTGCAGACATCTAGCCATTTGCATTCTTCTTTTTTAAAGTTTTTTTATGTCTTTGAAAGTATTTATCTATTTTATTTTTTCCATACCATAAGAAGGCATGCCATCCCACTTGGAGGTCATGTCCCTCCAACAGTAATAATCTTCTATTTCTCAGATTTGTGCATTCTTTCACCCATGTTAGTGCAGAGGCCTGTTAATAAAGCTCCCAATCCAGCAGTCCAAAGCCCCCATTCTTGTAACATTTCAGCCTTATTCTCACTCTTTTCCTTTGCCAAACATATTTCAAAA